CTGGAACTAAACGCTATTTCTGACATTTTGGATTGAAAAATCTTCCTGGATGGAAGAGAAACGTCTTCAAACTCGGAAACAAAGTCCAGTGGATTCATTTTTAACTTTTTTGGAATGACTCTGACCTGGATGACGGAGAATCTTCACCGGCATACGGTACTACTGCTCTCTAGGGGTAGACAAGCTAATCAACATGGCGGCTCCCATGACGTTCAGGAAACCACTGGACTTAGTTTCCAAGTTTGAAGACGTTTTGCTTCCCATCCAGGAAGCTTTTTCAATTCAAAATGTCAGAAATTATGTTAAGTTCGAGGTTTTATTAAGTAGCCCAACAAAGCCTGGTTTTGCTACTTGTTGAGCTGTATAAAACTTTAAATTCAACTCTATTCCTGAAATTTGAATTGAGAAAGCTTCCTGGATGGGAAGGGAAACGTCTTCAAACTTGGAAACAAAGTCCAGTGGATTGTTTTTAACATTTATGGAATGACTATGACTTGGATGACTGACAATCTACATCAACAACATTCAGGAAGTTTATGGAAAGTCAGGCGAAGAAGGCAGCCTTTGGTGAAGATGCGACAAACGATGGTCTGATCAGGGCTTCCAGACGCAGGAAACAACGACAAATGTTGAGGTTCATCACACTGCTAAGCAGAATCATCACTGGAAATAGTGCGGCACAGTAAGGAAGCTAGGATTCTATGCATATCAGAAGTCTCATGATTATGGAGGCTGACTGTAAGGAGACGACGCGGTCTGTTCATGCGCTGTTTGTTATCTGAGAACTGAACCAGAACTGAACCACGCCGAGCCCTACTGATGAACTAGTACCAGTTTAGCGCGGCTCAGTTGTGCGTACCATTTACACTCAACAGTTATCTTGGCTACAGTGCTCGGACCGATCTGGGCATGGTTTCAAAAGGGTAGTGGAAACGAGGCTTAAAGGAATAGTACACCCAAAACATGATTAGCCTTCATTTTCTACTCACCCCCATGCTGAACAACACTCTGGAGTACTTTTTTG